CAAACATACCAGTGGTTGTGAGGATGGCGCAGGATCAGGCAACATTTTGTCCTGTTATGCATAAGGTCACCATGAGTCAGAGCCGACTCGAAAGCAACTAACAACAGAACAACATTCCTAATTCCAAAAATAATCCATCTTCATCCAAGAAAATTTGGCAAACATCCAAAAGCATGAAGACAATTTAAACACCCATAATCCCGCCACTGTTACTATTGTTATATATCCTAACAGTGTGTTTTTGTTTTCTAAGCATGAATGAATGGTATATTTAATAAAATTGAGAAACTGAATGTATGTTAAATATCTTCCTTAAATTATCTTCACAAATGTATTTTGGAATGGCCATGTGGTATTTCACTGTATGGGTAGATCCTAATTTTTTTTTAACCAACCTCATTATTTTTGGGGTGTTAAGGCTGCTTCCAATGATTATGAATGATTTTTAAAATGCGTGATTTTTAAAAATCATGAGGAACTTCCCAGTCAATAAATATTTATACACATCTCTGATTATTTCTTTAGGGCCAAAATTCCTCCAGATGGAATAACCAGATAAATGATTAGCACATTTCTAAGGCTTTTGATATACTTTGCCAAACTCTCCTCCTGAAAAGTTGAAATATTTTCATTCCAATCATCAGTTTATGAGATTTCCTATTTTCTCAATCTCTCATGAACAATAGAAAATATATTTTCAAATATACATTTGCTAAGCCAACAAATAAAAAAACAACATTTAACTTGCATTTCATTGCTTAAGATCTTTCTTTTCAAGCATTTATAGGATATCTACTGTGTTAGATACTTTCTGGACATTTCCACACATACTGTTTCATTTAAACCTCACAACAGTCCTTTGAAACAGAATATTTCCTTCAAATAGAGGAGGAAGCTAAGACTTGAACAAACTTAGGTTCCTTGCTGAGCTCTGCCACACACCAGCTGTGTGATCTTGGGCGAATTCCCAACCTCTCTGAGCCCAAGAATACCCTGGAGATCTGCCTCTAAAAGTCCTGGTGATCCTTCTGCCCCATAACTTCGAGTGCTACACTCCAGTGGTCAATATTGGATGAGGAATCTGGGAGGACGCAGTGATACCCCTCTCTCAGGTGCCAAGAAACCTACCAGTTCCAGCATCAGCATCTGTTCTCTGCAGCTACAGGAACTAACTGAAAAAGAGTCCAACACACTTTAGTAGGTGCTCAACAAATAAAGGTGTCAACCACACAGGTTAAGATCTTGATATGTGTTTATTGAATAAATGAATGAATGCAGAGTAGGTGATTTCAACCCACTCATGGACCTACAACTCATTCCTTCCCCCAAATTTCTGCCTCGGGGCCTTTGCACATGCTGTTCCCTATGCCTGGAATGCTTTTCCTTCCAGCTTTTCACCTGGCTAATTCCTTCATAATTCTTCCCACCACTGCAAACCAATGATTATGTGGATGATTATCTAAGGGCTATTTCTCCCACTAGGCACCTGGGTGGCACAAATTGTTTGCGCTTGCCTACTAACCAAAAGGTTGGTGGTTCGAACCCACCCAGCAGTGCCATAGAAAAAAAGTCCCGACAATCTGCTTCCATAAAGATTACAGCCAAGAAAATCCTGTGGAACTCAGTTCTACTCTGTAACACATGAGTCAGAATCGACTCAATGGTAAGGGGTTTGGTTTTGGTTTTTGGCTCCTCCCACTAAACCATGAGCTGCAAGAAGGCACAGCCCTTATCAACTTGTTCACCACTGTGTCCCCAATACTTACCACGTGCCCAGCCCAGAGCAACCACCCACTAAATATATTATGGGAATATAGTAATTTCGATTTTGCTTCTTGACATCTACACGTGACAAAACTACATAAACATTTGGATATCACATCCTTAAACCTACCGATTCAGGGAAACGATCCATTATAACCATTGTTCGGAACCCAAAGAGGTTAACCAGTGTCTGCTCATGGGATGAGAATGTCCC